AATAAATGGAAACGGTTAAAACACAAGTGTCTGGGGAAAGTCCAAAGCACCTAGCTAGCACCTAATGACCTGATTCAATGTCCAGTGCGCACACACCCATGCATGCGTGTGCGCATACACTCACATTCACAGGAATTACAAGGGTCAATAACCATCAGGGAAAACAGGCTAAAACAATCCATCAGCACCTTAGGCAACTGAACCTGATCACCTGAAGGAAGAAGGTTGAACTTGGGACCTGGAGGAGCACCTCTAACAGGACAACACACAAGAGTCATGGTAGTCTTTTGCTATTATTATCTTGTCTACTTGTTTCTCATTGGCTTTTTGAGGCAGAGACTTCCTATGGTATTCCTAACTGGCCTGGAATTCCTCATCCTTCCTCTGACCCTCGGGGACAGGTTTACAGGCAAGCATCACCAGGCATGATCTTGTCCAATGAGAGCAAACAGACAAGGATATCGAAAGGAATGGTCATGGGGCTGAGGGCCTGAGCCAGACCCCAGGAAACCTGTCACTAGTGAGCGGTAAAGAATCCAGAGTGGACAGCAGGCAGGGAGAAGCTGATCCGTTGTGCATCAAGAGTCCCCATGCTCCAAGCCCACAGAGGCTCTTCCTGGGAGAGGCACACAGGCAGCCTGATGAAGTAGTAGATCTGAGTTAAACAAATTGTGGGAGAAGCTTTGAATCACTGCCCAAGTCCCTGAAGGAAAGCGATCTGACGGCAGCTTTGGGAAGTGGCTGGAAAGCAGCCTTTCCCTGCAGCAGCTACAGAGTGACATACAGAGCCACGCCTCCAGAGCAGGTGTCTCCAATACCTAGCAGTACGAAGCTGTAAGACCCCTCTTCTCCAGAGCTCCCCACAGAGGCTGATGCATCCTGTGGTGGTTTGAAAGAAAATGACCCCCAAAGGGAATGGCACTATTAGGAGACATGGCCTTGTTGGAGGAAGTGTGTCACTGTGGAGCGGTCTTTGAGGTCTCTTTGGCTCACACTTCCCTCAGTGTGACAGTCAGTTGACTTCCTGCTGCCTTATGGTCAAGAGGTAGCTAACACCACGATGCCTGCACGATGCCATGCTCCCTGACATGATAATAACGGACTGAACCTCTGAACTGTCAGTCACCACCTCAATTATATGTTTTCTTTTTGTTTGTTTGTTTGTTTGTTTGTTTGTTTCGAGACAGGGTTTCTCTGTGTAGCTTTGTGCCTGTCCTGGATCTCGCTCTGTAGACCAGGCTGGCCTCGAACTCACAAAGATCCGCCTGCCTCTGCCTCCTAAGTGCTGGGATTAAAGGAGTGCGCCACCACCGCCGGGCTAAATGTTTTCTTTGTAAGCACTGCCTTGGTCATGGTGTCTTTTCACTGCAACAGAAACCCTAACTAGGACACATCCCAATAGACTGAACCATGGCCTCACTCTAGCCTCCGTCATTCCTGATGCCATCACCCTTCCACAGCTGTGATCCCTGCTTCGAGCTGATCTGCACCTCAGCTTGCTTCCCAAAGAACAAATGCCAATGTGTCCATCTCTATTGAAGAGCAGCTGGTTATCAATAAATGAAACAACACGGTCAAGCTCTTTGGGTGATGCATGGCCAACCTTAGGTGTACAAGGAAATGCTTACATCAACTTCAGATCACAGATCACTTCTGTCTGTTAGGATCAGAACTCCTTAGGGACATACACAGAAAGCATTTATTTTACATTTATTTTCAATTCCACTAAAAATGAAGGCCAGTATCACAATCAAAATATTTATTATATTTATGTCGCTATTTTAAGCAATTTACAAGATGTATAAAAAAAATCAGAGTTCTAAATGCCTTTGAAAAACAAAGGAACAAATATCAAATAGAACACTAAAAAAAATTCTGTTGTGCTGATTTCCAATATGAAACACTAGAGGTCGCTACCATACCAAGAAAAGCCAAAGCGCACTCAAAATTTGGGGAATGAATGTTATATATTTCAGAGCACAATGATTTAAAGCATTTTATAGTTGCTTTTTTCTAAACTTAAACTCAATAATCTATATAAAATCATTTAATTTTAAGTTTATGAGATATTTTAAATTACATTCATGATAAAGGATTACAGGATAATTTGGGTTTTTGTGACCACAATTACAAGTTAAACTTTTTGTCTAATCCATTCATATTTATTATTTGTACATGATAGAAGCATTTACCTTAGCTAAATGTTATGTGAACATAGTTGGATTTTAGTCTCAGGCCCACTTCAGCATGATCACATATTCAGAGGTCACTAAAATAGCAGAAATGCCCAAATATGTGGACAGGTGATAAAGAACCGCCTGGATCTAAGTGGTTAAGGCGGGCAGCGAGAGCCGTGCTGCATTCATGCAGGACGATGAAACGTGCTAATTCCTTGGGAGGAATATGGACGAAACCCCATACGAGGGTTAAAACACACACAGCAATAATTCCAACACAAGGTATAAGACGAGTGAAAATTCTGACCTGTGTCTGATAAACCTGGCAAAGTAGAGCTTCCTGGCAGCCGCAAGAAATCAGGAAGTGGGGAGACTGCGTTTCAGAAACAGGTAGAGGTGGGAAATGTGGGAAGAAATGGAAACAGAATGTTCTGACTTCCACAGGAGAGAAGGAGGAGTTCGGGACCATGAAGAGAAATCATAAGCAGTTCACTCCTATGACTCAGCAAGGGTCACATGTTGTGTGTTGTCTTCAAAGGGGAGACATCTGTCTCAGTTTTAGTTAAGGTTTCACACCTGGTTCACAAGTACCAACTTGTGACCCAACAGGCAAGAAGGGATTAATTCAAACATCCCAACACGTTCAGGTGGGTTCCTGGTGACCGATACAAAGCATCATCAGAAGGACAGAAACTGGAGAAATACGACAGCCCATAAACAGCTTTGTGACCACAGGAAACACAGCCTATGTTACAACTTACTTACCAGGCTGTTTCTATTATGACAGAAAATTTTACGAAAACGAAGGATGAGGCAGCTTCTATTGCTAGGACATGGAGAGCTCAAAGAAGAGTTAGCCTGCAAAGATGACCGCAAACCTGGACAGAACTACATGAACCTTCTCTGGTGCTGGTGTCCACTAAGGACTCAACAGACCAAGTGCCTGACACTCAGCAAGAAGCGCTAGACAACGGAGTCAGGTGCCACCCGCCTTCTAGGCGATGCCTTCCCCAGCCCCTACTGTGCCAAGGAAGCTTGTCTAGAGCAGAGCAGCCAGTGGCACACGGTGGCTTGGCTGCCAAACAAAACTGACTTGATTTGGAACAAAAGAGAAACCCATATCAAAAGACATCATTAGTAAAAATATTCACTTCAGTCGGAAACCAACCCACAGAACTTGACAGCTGAGGTTGGTTTTCCCAATAGACTATTAGCTTTCTATCACTGCTCTAACCAACTGCTACAAACCTGGAGCTTTAAAACACTGCAAATTTATCCTAAAGTTCTGTACTTTATTAATTCTGAAATGCAGCTCACTGGATGGAATCAAAGCAGTAGAGGACCAGATCCTTCCAGAAGCTCTCTGGGGACTTTATTGCTGGCTTTTATAGCTTCTCAAGGCCATCAACACGCCTTGGTTCTTGGCTGCTCCTATAATTTCCAAGCCAGAAGCATAGCATCTAACTGGACAGATTTCCCTCTGATTCGACCCCTCTTCTGCCTCCCTCTCACACTTAAGGACACCCAGGACAGCATAGCCATCTTTCAGTCAGCTAAAGAGCAGTCTCAGTTCTGCCCACAACTCTGAAACCAAACATATTCACAGATATCAAAGACTCAGGTACAGACAGCTTTGAAGGCTTGTAAGTGTTGGGCTGTTCTGCCCCTTACCCTAACAGAGAGATCCTAGAAATAAAAGAAGCCAAGGGAAGGTTATCTTCCCACACAGTCCCAGGTACTAGGGAACAGCACTCACGTGCAGAACTAAGAGTGGGTCCTTCAGAAAAAAGGAAAGTGCGAAAAGCCTGACTCCGAATGCTCTGCCAACCTAAGCTCCCAGGCCACGCAAAAACCCCTTGAGACTGAGTGTGAGCCTGCTACCCAGACAATGGATGCCGGACGCTAAACTATGCAGATGCAGGGGTGCCAGAGAAGCACTCTGAAACACTACAATGGGTATTTTTAAGACTTAGCAGAAGGGCTAGGGAAACGGCTCAGCAGGTAAAAGCATCTGCTGTGCAAGCGTGGGAACCTCAGCCACAAAGTTAGGCACCATTGCACTCGAACCTGTAACCCCAACACTGTGAGGACAGGAACAAGAGGACTGTGGGGCTTGCCGGCCACCTGTCTCTGCGGTAAGTGACCCATCTCAAAGGACACACTAGCACACATGAGGTCTTCCTCTGTCCGATGCCCCATGCACCTGTGCACACAGCTGTACACACAGTTGTGCACACATGGTACTGGTGCATGTTACAGTACAGATAAACCTCATCACTATGGTACAAAAGTGTTTCCGTTTATAAGAGTTTCTAGAAAAGGCAACTATCAAGAGAAAATAACAAATGGTAACCTGAGGCTTGAGGCAGGCACAGGGATGAATGTGTAGAAGACCCAGGAAACGTAATGGAGTGACTGGGTCATGGTGATGGCTGCCCAACTATGTAAATGCACCAAAAATCACTGCAATGGATACCTCCCAAGGTGAACTGAGACAATGGGAGTTAGGATTTGCTTCTGGCATGTGGGGCAGGGGCCGAGCACGTTCAATCAAGCACAGCAGAGAAGTCCCTGGTCTTTGTGTTTTATCTCACAGTGCAATGCATGCACACACACACACACACACACACACACACACACACACACACACACACACACACACCCCATCCCATGCATGTGCCCTTCCAACCAAAGGGCTGGTTTCTCCACTTCCTTGTGGCTTTCCAGGGGTCTGGTCAGGTACTCAGGACTGAGCACACAGCAGGGACTATTCTTCCAACCATCTCACTTGCAAACAAAAAAAAAAAATAGAACATTTTTCACCTTTCGTCCTGTGAAGGCAGCTCGATGTAGTGGCGTGTCCCCCATGTCATTTAATACGTTCACTTTTGCACCAGCCTAGTAAACATGAAAACTTTAAATAGTGTCCACACATTAGTAAATACACATACACACACAAATAAGCAAGTCAATAAATACATACATAAATAAATAGAATTCCTAACTGCTTTAAAAATTAAAATAATTTAACCTTGTTTTTTGTTACTAAAAGTAAACTTGATACACAGCTAAAGTACACAGGTTTCCTGAAAGGCAAAATCCTCCAGACAAGCCAAGCACAAGGCCTGTACAGGCCTTGCAGCTGCACCCCACTCTAGCAGTGGTAGGATCATAAGCACTGTCCCTGGACCTCAGAGCATCTCCTCGATCGTCAATGTGTAAGTGTCCACACTGAAAAGATGCCACAGCTCCAATGCACAAACATGATGTGATCCAATTTCAAAACGCCCCTAGGAAACATTATCAGGAAGGACATTTGAGGCCTCAGTTCTCATTAGGTCTTCTCTGAGATTCTAATGTCATTTTTAATTATTTAGGTTGTGCTTTGCTTCTTTTACATAACTTTCATGCTTGCAAAGTTGAAAATTATCTTTATTAAATCCCTACTTCACCATTTTTAAAAAAACGGTAATGTAAAGCTGAAATTTGAAACTGGAATTACAGTGCGTTAGCCTGGCCCGCTGTGTCCGTAGTGAAGGAAGACTGTGCATAAGGATATATGCTGCTGCTTTAGCACCCTCCTCTGCTCAGTGCCTTCTCAAGGCTTGCATCACATGACCCTATAGTATTACAGTCAATAAAAAGCCATAAATAGACCTTCAACAGATCCTGGACCACTTGTTTATGTCCAAAATAGCATGCCAGATGAAGAGGTGTCCAGCCCAAATTAGACTTACTTCTTCCTAAAAAGGGGGGGAAAAGAGTATCTTTAGATATTATTTAGGCAGTTTTCAATAAACGGGGTTTCTTTCTATTGAGGTACCTTAGCCTACAGCTCTCACATAACTGCTGAGAGGCAAGACACATCCTCACAGCAAGCACTGCAAACGTGCGATGATGCCACCTGGGGACTCCCCACGTCCATCCTTCAAGGCTATAGTCCAGCTCCCTGACCTCCATCAGCCCGCTGGCTCTGAGAGTCCAGTCTGGATCCAACCTGCCCCACCTTGCAGCACTGGAGAGGGAGGCTGGGGACCTCAAGGGGGTGCAGAGCCCTTCAGAGCGGCACCTGCTGGAGTATTTCCATAGCAGCTGCCACACTGCTCACTCCAACAAGGACTTACAAGGGAGTCTCGGACTTCAGATACAATCTCAGTTAATGAGAAGATCGGGTTTCCAGAGTGCTGGAGAGCACAGTCAGAAAACCAAAACCAGTGTTGGAACTATCAGCTCCCAAACAGCAATGCTGAGGACAGGCATTCACACAGCGGCACAAGTTAAAGCTGGGTACGTCAGCCAAGCAAACGAGATAAAGGACGGGCTTTCAACGGAGATGGCTCTAAAAGCTTACTCAACTCTAGCTCAGGCTGCAGAACCAACAGCCTATCAAACACTCAAAGCCGACAGCGAGAGGATGTAGCAGAGCCCCAGAGTCCACCATGCACCGCAGCTCCTGGGTTTCCGGTTCTGAACCCACACGATCTGCAGCCACAACCCAAGCCTGTGCCTGTCCCCATCTACCACCTGCTGCATCTGTTCTTCTCCTAAGTGTCCTGTGAACACTTCAGGCTACTTACTGAGCACTTCCTTTGCCTTCTCCTCTGCAGGAAAACCTAGCTTTTCCCAGAATGACCCCACCTTCCTCGGGTGGAGGCTCCCCATTCAGAAACATCCACAGCACCTCGCCAAGTGGAAGCCATGTGCTGAGCCCCGACATCAAAAGTCTGCTGCTGGCCCTGGTCAGGAAACTTTCCACTCATGTAACAAGCCCTTCTTTGAGCCACAACTCCAGCAAACGCTTTCTCTGCTGCCTGCCAAGCCTCCTAGCAAATCATAATGTTGCCAACAGTCATTCTTTATATTGTACAATCTAACACTATCCTAGGGGACACCCTGGTCATCTAAGTTCCCTGTCTCTCACTTCACCTCAGTTACGTTTTACTCCATTTATTTACTGTGTGTGTGTGTGTGTGTGTGTGTGTGTGTGTGTGTGTGTGCGCGCGCGTGCGCGCGCACGTGTAGACATATATATCACAATACACGTGTAGAAAACAGAGGACAACCTGCAGGAGTCAGTTCTCTTCTTTCCTCCCACCACATTGGTTCCAGGAATCAACCTGGATTGTCAGGCGTGGCAGCAAACAGCTTTATCCCCTTGGTAACTCCCACCACCACCCCCTTTTGAAACTAGAGCTCATGTGTTCAGACTGGCCTCAAAGGTGGCCTTTCTTCCAATCCTGCTTCCATCTCCCACGTGCTGGGATTACAGGAATGCACTACCATGCTCTGTTCATGCAGGGCTGAGGAAAAAATGTTGTGCATGCTATACAGCACTCCACCAAGTGAACTACATCCACAGCCTGCTCCCATCACTTCCTGTGAACTGCATCTCCGCTCAGTGCCAAGACGCCACTGTCAGAGCCGACCCCTGGTTCCACCACAATCATAGAAAGCCACTCCCACAATGCTACAAGCCACAAAAATATACAGCGTAGGATTTCAGCTGATTAGGACAAAGCTAACACCTGGAAGAAGCCAAGGGCCTTCCAGAGGTCAGGCTGAGGCTCAAGGAGCCTTGGTGATATTGGCTTTTGATTATCAGCCGTTTCCTGCTATGAGTTTCTCATGTGCTATTGTAGCTTTTCCATCATGTATTGGGCACCATTTCCCCTCTGTTAAAGGAATATTCAGATATACACATATATATAGCTGACAGCTATGCACAGCCAGAACCCCAGTTCAAGCCTCCCTGTAATTATCGTCATTGGCAGCATCCGGCCAGGTCCATCCCCAGATGGAGGAAAGTACCGTATCAGAGATACCTCTGTATTCTCTAAGAACAGACTTGAGCATCCAAGGCCAAACAAAACAACACATGTCTCCTACCTAGGTCAGGAGGATGGCTTTATGTCTTGTGCAATTTAGGGTGAGACCCTCCTTCCTTACAGCCTTATTTATAGACTCCTAATTTCTTACCTAACTACTTCTAGGAATGTAGATTGAGCACATAAATTCCCTTCTTGATATACTAACTGATCTTTAGCTCTCTATTGACTTCCTCCTTTACCACTCCCCTTTTGGGTTGTAAAAGAAAGCCTGGTGGTCACTGCCTGAGGAAAATTCTTACCTGCCTTTAAGACCCTGTAAGAATTCAAGCCTGGTGACCTTGCTCTGTGAGAGGATTGCTTGGGTTTATAACTGGATTCCTGAGAGACTTAGGGAAAACTGAGAGAGTCAGAGAACTGAGAGGTAGAAGGAGAGAGAGGAGGATTTTTGAAGAGGGAACTTGAAGATGAGATAGAGAAGAGACAAGAGAACAGAAGAACTAGATGGGTAAGAACTGGAGAGGAATGTACTGAGATGGGAAGAACTAGATTGAAGGGCTAGAAGAGAGGACTAGAGGAACGAGATGGAAGATGAGGAAGAGCAAGATGGGGAAGAACAAGGTGAGGAAGAACAAGATGAGAGAGAAGGAGCTGGGAGAGGAGCTGATATGGAAAGAACTAGATGGATGAGAACTTAGATGGAGCAGAACTAAGATGAGAGAATTAAGTTAGAACTTAGAGGGCACAGCAGATAAATGGAGAGAGAAATCAGGCAAGAAAGGAGCTAGGCACGAGAGCAGAACTGAAGCTGTGTAGAGAGAGAACTGACTCAGAAGAATAAAGTGTATGGACTAAAGAATTTTGTGTATATAGATTCATTTACTATGGTCAAAGACTAGATTATCAGCTGGTTGTAGATTCTTCTACAGACCCTGGGAGAGGACTATCGAGGGGCTGGACCCCCTTAGTCCTCGTTACCACAAACTCAAATTCCCAGCTTGTTCATGTGGTCAGCCCATCGACTCTGATCACTTCTCACACATGGAACTAGTCCCCATCTCCGCTTCACTAACTCTGGCATGTACATTGACCCTGACGTCTTTATCATCCTTATCTCTGCCAGTTGCCTAGAGAATCCCCCAAAGCCTGGTAAATGCACTCCCTCCGTTTTTCTGTAAGTACAGCCAGGTTTATAGGCAACAGTGAAGAAAAATAAAAAGCATCCTGAGGAGCTGTGGCACCACAAAGTCAAGCCCCACAGCTTGGGTTGGTGTCCTTCTTATAATGCCTGGCTGAGGACTCTCTCCTACCTCCAACATCTCTGAATCCTTAACTGCCAGCACCTCTTACCTACCTTGGTACCACTAACAATGACCTCACCTTTAAGCATCACCGCAAAACCAGCTGTCACAGAACTCCTGGACCCTTCCAGCAACACAATCCACCCCCACAGGGCCTGCTCCCAGACCCACTCCTTAACCACCCCCTCTGATCACATGAACCAATTTAATACAACCCTCTCATAATCATGTGTCTTATTAGTTCTGTTTATCCTTTTTTTCTCTAGCTTCACTTGGCTAAGTCCCATGCGGGACTTATTCCTTATTCACTTATCCCTAAATTTATTTCTAAGTAGCTACTCCTTCAAACTTCAGTTACAGATCTTCCCCTATAAACCCACGAACCCAAGCAGGTACAGATCCTCTGCTATGGACCACACAGCCGGGCTTCCACACCCAGCACCTGATCCTCTGCTATGGACCACACAGCCGGGCTTCCACACCCAG